CATCTTAAACGGATTTTAAGAAATGAGCAACGGAACATGAGCATTCACTTGTGCTAATCCTTGATACCTTTGTTTGCAGTGTGGTGTAACAGCTGTTGTCCTTAACTGTGAACTGAAGCTGTAGGCTTGAGGTCAAGTCAGTAATCGTGTGTGTAGTATGGTACAGTTTCTGGTACATTCACAGGATTGATAAGAAATGTTGATTCACCTCTCTGCTTGGTTTCGATGTTTGAGGGTTTTAGCAAATGTCCATAGCGGAGTTCTGACTCTAGGATGAGGTCAATATCATCAATCAGAGGATCAATGGATTATCACTCCACCAGCTTACACCAAATAACAGCCTGTCTGCTCTAATCCTCCGACCCATTCACTACGCTTCGCCACCTGCTCTGGGAGGCATTCCTAAAAAGCCAGTATGTACCACTGGTGTGTCCACTCTTTTATGTTACAATTACAAGACCAGCCCTTTCTTGTAATGTATCTTGGTATTCTAATGCATATTCCTCAAGCAGCTTTGTAGAAAGCAATTTTTAATGGCAAGGTAAAACTAAGTGTAAAGAATGTAAGAATGCTTTCGAATAATTTAACAAACATGCCATACATCAAAATGGATGGTGACGTTCAGTCTGTAATAATTAAGTCCTCAATGAATACTTCTCACACACACAGTTTGTTTAATGTAGCCTTAAATCCTGTCGAGTATAAATTACACAGATGATCCTATTTAGGGTAGTCTTTCTTTATATCAATTCCACACACCCCTGTCAATAAAATAGCAATGACTCAAGAATCAGTGATTCATTATATACTTATGACTCCTTGTCTCCTGTAATTTATCTACACAATTTTAAATCACCAAAGAACCACTTCTTGCCCAAGAATTTTGAGATAATCCCTGTTTTATTAAGTTTTAAGGCCACCCCCTACACATCGACCCACACACCTAAGTCACCATTAAAGCTGCTGCCATAATGCATACCTCCATAAGGAGGAGAAGCTAACCTCAAATTAGAAGGCTATGTTTGGCACGCCATTCAGCCCTTCACACCTGTTACGCACACACACGCGGGTGAGCAGGCAAGGCTGAAGCTGCCAGCTCTAATTACCTGCAGCAACACAAACACAACTCCGAGTTTTCACACAGAGTGCCGTGTCCTCCCTAGAGCGTCACCGTGGAAAACACCAGGCACGAACACCCTTCAGGTTAGGTGACCACCAACATCATTCCCCAAACAACCACCGGATCTGGCCAAACGTGAAATCACTGAAATTACGAAACCTGTTCATCGACAGCCCTTTTGACTCATTTGTAATAATTTTGAAATTCACTTTCATTTGATTGACTGTTTTAATCTTCCTTAACTAGTGAGTTAAGTGAAAATAAATGACGCATTCCTAATACCATAAATATGAAAAATAGGAAGGGCTTAGAGACTTCGGGCGAATCCATTAAAACCCGTCAGCTTTCTAGTTAACACATTCTCATTCTGTTTGTGTACAAACCCACCGCACGGAGAAGACAGATCGCAAATTCACGGCCTCACAAAAACATGGTCCCAATTCCACGTGATGACAGCAGAAATTGGCCCAGGCCTCTACCCATTTCCCCTAAAGGACCCTGGCCGGCTGTGCCTTCCAGGTGCAGCACACACGAGGGGCGCGAGGCGTCCACTTGCACTCGCCTGTCAGTGCGGCCCATTATTTCTTGAGGCTGAAATTGGCTGCGTGCGGTGGGAGCGCCATCAATCTCCCGTGAGGAGGGGACAGGAAGCCGCCTGTGGGAGGCTGGGAGGGGCCAGCCATTCCTCCCAGGTGAGGGCGGCCGTGCAGCCCCCTCTCCCCCTCAGCTCGGTCACGAGTGAAAGATTTGTCATTTTGCACATTTCCCGGATGGATACTTGGTATGCACGCGGAGTCCGCCTGCTCCTGCTTCATGAAGAGGCCATTTTTCAAGCTTAGGCAAATGGAGCAGACCCAGGCACTGCCGGTGCCTCGTTCTTTCTCATCATGTCACTTGTTTTAACCGATTTGAGAAAATGAGATTATGTTTTTCCTTTTTGCTCATTTATCCAGCTATTTATTTATTTATTTGCTCATTTAGGGGTGGGTTGTCGCAGATGACTGGCCCTGATTTCTTTCTTGTTTTCATACACATTTCATTACTGTCCTTGAAGATTTAAGACCCACCAAGGAAAACGTCACCACGCTCACCCCCCCCGCCAAAAAAAGCATATTTGTACTCTTAAAATCAAAACAGAAGACTGTTATTAAAGATACTGAAATAATCTAGAATATTGCTCTGACCAAGATCTATTACTTTAATCTTTGGAGCTATTGTTGAAAACCCAGGAAAGTTGAATAATCATATTTTGTAGAACCACTGGACTTGCAGTTTAATATCATTTTAATCTCTACATCTTTATAATTCCTTCATTTCTACAGTGAAGCTGAGATGGGTCTCCCAATGTCAGCACGTGGGTTTGGCCCCCGCTCTAGTGCTGCAGATTCCTGGGTATCTGACGGCCAGCTCTTCCATGCTGGTTGTTAACACACAGATTCAAGGGCAGAGAATGGGAAAACAAGCACTGGGCTTAATTTCAACACAGAACCTAACCTGTACTTCTCAGATAACAGATATGATGTTTTAATAAAAATCCTAAACACAGGGGCTGGGGATGTGGCTCAAGCAGTAGCACGCTCACCTGGCATGCATGCGGCCCGGGTTCGATCCTCAGCACCACATACAAAAAACAAAAATGTGTGTCCGCCGAAAACTAAAAATAAATATTAAAATTCTCTCTCTCTCTTTAAAAAGAAAGAAATCCTAAAGACAGGAGTTTTCTGATACACATAATAGCCTTAAACTGTTATGAAAAAAAAAGAGAAAAACAAACCTGTACCCTAACTGATTGGTAATTATCAATACGAATGCTCATGGTAAACTGTACCATGTCTACGATTACACAGTGTTTACAAAGATAAACAGTATTTGGTGGCTATGTTGTAGCCATGTTCCATGTGATTTTTTAAAAAAAGGAAAAAAAACAGACTTTTAAAAAAATATATTTTTCAATTGTAGATGGACATAATACCTTTATTATGGATCAAACCGAGTGCCTCACACATGCAGATGAGTGCACCACCACGGAGCCACAACCCTTTAGGGAGGGGGTCCTAGCTTTGTGTGCTCTTAGCCATGTGCACAGTAAAACTTGACTCATTCAGCATCCCTGGCTTGCAGGTGGTTGTCTGCCAAGAGGGATGCCAGCAATGACCGACACTTAGGAAGAGCTTTACAGTTTACAAAGGGGTTTCTGGGAAGTCATTTTATTTACATCCGCCACGTATCTCCAGATGGGAAATGAGCTCAGAGAAAAAAAAGTCAATTGCCCAAGGTCACCTCACTCATGTGAAGTGACCGAGATGGCAGCCAGTCCTGAGCTCTGCTGTCCCCTGCCCAAGTGCCACCTCCCAGGATGGGCTGAACACTCCAAGAGGCCCATGCTTAGGCATACCATGAATATTGTATTATTCACCTCAAGGCAAAGTGGGTGGGGGTCCAGGAGGTGGGGGTCACAGCCACTTGCAGAACATGAAACCCAGTTGGGATGAACCCTTCCCACGCCTTGTGTCTCGGGAATTCTTTCTGTTAGTGTGGCCGTGAAGGCAGATTTCCCGCGTTATGTGCACGACCCTGTGACAAGTCAAAGCACTTTCTGCCGGGGGAAGATTAAGGGACGCCCACGTTTGTTACTTCCACCTGGACACCCAAGCTCCGGGGTCAGCGGTTCTGCATGGGGCTGGACCAGGGCGCCGGAATCAGAGCAGCAAGGCAGGCTGAGGGGACCTGGAGCCGCCTGCCTGCCCCTCTGCCGGACCTTGGCCCCGCACCGGCCACCCGCCTGGCTCCTGAAGGCCTGGCCGCTCTGGACACTGCAACTCCTCCCGGCGGGTCCGGAGCGCGAGCCGCAGCACGGGCGCCGCCTGCAGCCTGGTGCTGCTGAGCATCTCGCTGCACCTGCTCGCCAGCCCTGGGCGGGCCCAGCTGCTGGCGGGGGAGCTGCGGGTGCTGCCGCGGGGCTGTACCCCGGGGCGTCCAGAGCCGGGCAGAGCCGCTGGACCGCAGCAGGGGAAGGAAGCCGTGCGAGGGGGTGGAGGGCATTGGGGGAGGGTGGAGGGCCCGAAGCCGTCCCCACGGAGGTCAGAACTGGGGCGCGCAACTGGTCCCCAGAGGGCGGCCGCGGAGGGTGAAGGTGGGGGCGCAGGGAAGGTAAGAGAGCGCACTGGGAGGGACTGGGGTGGGGGGAAGCCGGGGCTGTAGAGGGGGCCAGGGAAGAGCAGGAAACACTCTGTGCACGGAGAGTGCCAGAGAATGAACCAGAAAATCAGGGGACAGGGAACCGGCTCCTCCCAAGCCTCAAAGGAGGAGGGGGCGCCTGGGCGGAGCACACCCAGCACACCAGAGGAGCCCAGTGGAGGAGAAAGGACAGGAGGCGCTTTAACCCCAAGAGAAAGAGCACATCTCTCCTTCTTCAGTTTCTCTTTCACTGACAACTTATTTCTGAAGTTAGTCTGGGGACTACCTCCCCTTAAAATCCTTCACCACACACGGATGGACGGTAGCATCCACACCCAGTGAGGAAGCACGCCAGGGACCGACGGGCAAAGGTGACACTGTGCTTCCCTAAGACTCCTCCAGTCTGGAAAGTTATTCCACCTTTTGTGGAATATTTTGCCATTGGCCAAAGCATCCCAAAACAAATGGCTTCCTCCCGCGGAGGTGTGTGTCAGGGCTGGGGTCACTTGGAGATCCGCCTGTTCTGGGAGATTAATGGAAATGCCTCCCAGGCACCACCGTTCCCTCTCCTTCCCCCAGAGCACCAAACCAGCAGAATGTTCTGGAATGCAGCTGCCCACACGTAGCCCATTCTGTCCCTGGCACTCTCCGTCTGTGAGGGGCCCGGCGGCGGGACCAGAGGGCTGAGGAGCAGTTCCCCTACCTGGTCTGTGTAGGTGGTGCTGCTGGAAGGTGTGCTGAAGGGACCCATGGCAGAGCAGCATGGCACAGGCACTTATCCACAAGTACAGGACCCAGGACATCGCAGAGACCATGGCCATTCTCTAAAGAGAAGACACAGCAAGAGAGGTGAGCACTGCTGCAAGCCCCAGGTCCAGGCAAGATCACTGGTGAGGGCAGGGAGTCTCGGAGGTCATGTTCCTTTGCTTCTTGGCTGGCTAGCATCAGCGTCCAGCAGAGGTCATGCCACCAGGTGGGCCCGAGGGAAGACCTTTTCCAGAAGATGGTACATACATTAAAAAAAAAAAATGCTACAGAATAAAACTCCAAGGATTGCCAAAAAATACAAAAATAAAGTTTCTGACTACCAATTAGGCAGTTGGAAGCATCCTATGCCAACTAGCAATCCTGTTTCACACAACAATTTGAAAGCTACCGTCATCCCAGCATTGGAAAGCTCAGGCTCCTGTTCATTCTAACTTCATTGCAAGTCTGACATAAGCCTTAAAGGAAAGAGTGGGTTCTTTTTCTTTCTTTTTTTTTTTTTTAATTCTACAGTCATGAATTTTTAATCACAATGCTGTCTTCTAAACTAAGTAATCATTTCTCAGAGGCATGTTGTAATCTCCCGATAGAACTGATCTTTCTGGCTGGACTTAAAATCGGAAGGAATTGCCTTCAGCCAGAAGGAGTTGCAGATGCAAGATCCATGCTTCTATCCTGGAGCAAACCGTAATTTACAGTATTTCTTTGCCTCCTAAGACTCCACCGTGGCGTTTGTTGTAGAGTGCTGATGAATATGCATACACAGGTGGTTATGTATTTATGGATGAACATATACCTTTTCTCAGGCGCTGAAACTTTGACAGTCGTATCTGCACCTAGGAGGCTCACAGGAGCTACCGAGGCTCAACTGCGCTACATATTGTCCAATTTCTCAAACAGCACCTTATGCTGCATTTCATATTGCCAGATTAATCAAACTTGAAGCATCGCCTTTATTCAGCCTGTGATAGGAGGCATTTTCTATGCAAGAATCCATGCTTTACAAGAACAACATGCTTTTCTCTTAAGCAGAAAGGCTGTGAAACCAAGATCGTTTCTCTCTTTCCTTTCCACTGTCAAATGATACCCTCGGAGAATTTCAGATATATGTTGAAAACCTGCTAGTGACCTCCCAGTGTGGCTTCTTTATTCTAAATTGGCACTTTTTCAAAAACTGCGATGTTCGGAAAGCAAAAATAGACACTATACCCATATGTCCTGCACATAATACAGGATAATTTGTGGGTTTAGGAAGAGAGCTGTGGCCTCTGAGAAGGCTGGAGGACTATAATAGATAGATAAAACGCTGACAGTATAATTAAGTGCAAAGTAGGGACACGTTATTTCCAACAGCCCCGTGCCACCCAGGCCGGGTCTGTGACTCGGATGGACCACTCACTTTCCAATTAGGTGCACGGCCCACTGTTGACTTTTGTATACAACATACTTCCCCTGATGGTTTTCAGAACTATCAGGGCAGCACAGGTGCATCCTCCTGGTAGAAACCCATGGCAACACCCTCTCCTGCAAACCCTAAAATGAGTACCTCCAGGGGCCTTTTCACAATACCCAAACATTACAGGAGACAAAACATGGGTGACGGCCGTACACAGTCGCTGCTCCCAAATCGCTGCTGAAAGGCACAGAGAATGAATCTGAACTTGAAAAAAAAAAATCCCACCACCATCCAAACTTAATAGTTCTCTATTGACTGTTCCCCTTCTCATTTCTTCACCCACATAGATTTCGGCACTCAAAACGGACATTTGCCACTCTTCCCTTTTCCCATTTAACTTCTTTAATTATCAGCGTTACTTCCCAAGCTCCTGCATAACCATCTCCTGGCTCACTCTCTCAGGGAGAGCTTGTCTCCCCACATAACGCGTCCAGCCGTGCACAGTCCTCTGCACAGGGTTGGAATGTGTTTCAAACCTGCTTTCTGAAACCTTAGATCTTTGAAGAGGCTTCTTACCTGAAAAAATCCAGCCAAGAGCAGAGCACTCTATGAGTGTTCATTGGAAAGATCTAACACTTTTTAAGATCCATCGGTGCCACAATTTTGAGACGCTAAAAAGGAAGAGCTTCACAACAGTCTTCTCAGTCAGAAATTTAAAAAAAAAATAAAAATTAAAAAAATAAATTGTTCTTCTCTTCCGATCCTATTTTCCCAGGAAAGAAGATATGGGTATTGTCAGAAAAGGAGCCAGGCTCTGGGAGGTGGAAAGCTTGTCATCTTCACCTTTAAATCATCTCCTGGCGTCACCTCTGCCTGCTGAGACCTTTGAAGTGAGGGTGAGACACGGTGAGATAATGCGCAGGGTCCCGATGGATGGATGGGGATCAGCGTACAGTCGCCAGCCAGCCGGCCCCACGCCAGTGCATCCGGCGGCGGAGTCGGGCAGGGAAATGTAGGAGCAGAGCTGCTATACCGCGCTGTAAGTAGCAGGAGTCTGTTTCAATACATCCCTCCTCTCCAAAGGACCACATGTCTTAAAGTGACATTACCCTCGGTTGCAGCCTGGCGAATCCTCACACTGGCCGCGGCTCTTCCACAACTCAGGCAGCACTTTAACCCTAGGCTGCCTGATGTGCTTTGTGAAAGGCTTTTCTGATGCCATTCATTTGCCAAAGGACCCAAGAGGGAAGGAGAAACAAAAGAAAAGAAGCATTCTGCGAAACACACCGATGACGGTGTTAATGGGTGCTCCACTTCCAACAGTAAATGGGAAAGTGAAATATCTGCCCTTTCTCACCTCTTCATGTTCTCTTAGCCAGTATGTTAACCAAAGACACTGTTAGGCGGATTCGGATTTAATTCCCTTGGTTACTTTGGCAGCTAAATCTGGGAATGCAATCTGTCTGGAATACAATAGACATGTTTACCTTCCTAAGCCCAATAAAAACCTTCAGAGTTTTTTTTTTTTAATTTTTAATAAATAGAAATGTCATTTTTAGCATTGAAAACTGGATTTTAATGAAGGATATACTCAAGACTCTTTTTAAAACATTTTTTTTTTTTTTGCTCTCCCTGAAGTATGATGCTGGGGGTGAGGGCACGCAGAGCTTCACCTTGTTGCTAGTGCTGTGGTCTGAACGGGTTCTGCTCTGGAAGTGCTGTGGTTAGACTTGAACTTCAAAGATGCATGCAAGGTGGCCTACTTTTCCCTTACAGATGGCACCAGCAAGGATTCTCTGGATACTCACTCCACTGCTCTGCCAATCACTCCTAAGGCACCTACTGGGTGTCAGATGCTTAGGACAAAGTAGAAAAGGAGACAGCTGTGCCCCCCC